AGGCTGAGGCCGAGGCAGGCTGAGGCTGAGGCTGAGGCAAGCCGAGGCAGGCTGAGGCTGAGGCTGAGGCTGAGGCTGAGGCAGGCTGAGGCTGAGGCAGGCTGAGGCTGAGGCTGACACAGGCTGAGGCCGAGGCAGGCTGAGGCTGAGGCTGAGGCTGAGGCTGAGGCAGGCTGAGGCTGAGGCCGAGGCAGGCTGAGGCTGAGGCTGAGGCAGGCTGAGGCAAGCTGAGGCTGAGGCTGAAACTGAGGCAGGCTGAGGCATCCGTAGGAATCCATAGGAATCCTTAGGAATCCCTAGGAATCCGTAGGCATCCTTAGGAATCCGTAGGCATAGTTAAGCATCCTCAGAAATCCTTGGGAATCCTTAGGATTCCCTAGGAATCCTTAGGAATCCCTAGGAATCCCTAGGAATCAGGATTCCTAAAGAGTCCTAAGGTTTCCTAAGGATTCCTATGGATTCCTAAGGATGCCTAAGGATGCCTTAGGAATCCCTAGGAATCCTTAGGATTACATTGGATCCTAAGGCCGTTGCCACTGCGACTGTCATTGCGAATGCGACTGCGACTGCGAGAACAGCAGAATTCTACAACTGGATTCTCACCTGAATCTTAAGGGGGATGATTCCAGATATGCTTATACACATCGCTGTCAGGTTGCTTTGCCAGGATAATCTTCAAGCCCGTGATGCAGAACTGTGACTCCAGCCATCGGCATGGCAGGGCCCGTTGGGGGGCACGGCCGCAGCCTGCGCCCCTCGGGCCGGGGCGCAGTGAGAGAGCTGCGCCACGGGAGCTGGGAAGAAGCTGCCGAGTGGCCCAGTGCACGATCACATCGTCCAGCCTCCTCCTCCTCCTCCTCCTCCTCCTCCTCCTCCTCCTCCTCCCCTCCCCCTCCTCCTCATCCTCCTCCCCCTCCTCCCCCTCCTCCCCCTCCTCCTCCTCCTCCTCCTCCTCCTCCTCCTCCCCCGCCAGTGGCGTGGGCCAGGGCGCCGCACAGCGCGAAGGACGCAGGCATGAGGCGGGGGCCTCGGCAGCGCCCTCGTGGGCGCCGTCGCCGAGGGCGAGCGATGGGGCCGAGTGCCCGCGCCGGCAGCGACCACAGCGTGCCACCGTCTGCAGTGGGAGCCCCAGAGACCTGGCCTCCTCCCAGTCGCGGCCTTGTGGGCAGGAGCCGGGCCGCCTCCGCTCGGCGGCGGGAGCCCACGCTGGCCGAGTTTCCGAGGAGGGCGGCGCACCGGCAGAGCAAGTCCAGCTGCGGCGCGGCGCCGCGCCCCGCTCTTGCGCCCAGAAGGCTCTGCACCCAGAGATGCCCTGCGAGGAGTGGGCACGCCGGCCGCTGCACGGTGCCCCGGCGCTCCCTCGGCCGCCGAGGCGAGAACGGCCCGAGCTCAAGCGAGAGAACCCTTCTCGAGGTGCACGTTGCCAGCCGCTCGGCGAGGTGCGCCGCAGCGCCATCGGGCACCCTCGGGGGCCCGTGCCCTCGGGGGTGCGGGCGGGAAGGGGCCGCCAGGCACCTGGCGTGGCAGCGCCAGAACACGGCCACCCAAGGCGCCCCGAGTCGCAGAGCAGGGAGACGACGGCGACGCCCAGCAGGGCGGCGTGCACCTCCGGCGGCCGCAGGCCGTGGCCTCGCGGGGTGCGCCGGCGAAGACCCCACGCGTGGCCGCGGCGCGTTGAACATCCCCCCGAGGGCACCGCCGCGGCAGCCCTCTGAGAGTCTGCCGCCCGCGGGGCACGCGGCCCGGCAAGGGCGGGGACCCTGGGAGAGGGCAAGAGAGAGGCCCCCGCGGCGGCAGCGCGTCCCCGCGCGCGCCCGCGAGAGCTCCGGGCACCAAATTGAGCAGCCACAGTGAGCGGGAGAAGCGGCCTCCCACCAGCGAGGAAGCGCGCTCAGAACGCTCCGGCAGACGCTTCCGCGCCGGACCCAGGGATCCAGCGCCTTGATTCTTGCAAGACGGGGTCCCCGAACAGTCTCGACCCCTCCTGGGGACCGGCTTCTCATCCTCTGAGTCGTCTCTGAAAACGGCCCCGGGGCCCGGCGAGGGGTCCTCCAGAGGCCGAGAACGGCGGAAAACCTGCGCCTGGATTTGCTCGAACCGCTGCACCTCTGGCGAGTGCGCCGCGCGTTGGGGAGGGGCATCTGCACTGACGACAGCGCGCCCGACTCGGCCGTGCGCGGCGCCAGCGGGCGGCTGGGCGGCTGAGCGCGATGGCCTCTCGCGGCGCGGGCCGACCACCGCGCTGAGGCCCGGCGCAGGAGCTGAGCTCCCCCCGTCCCCGAGGTCTCTGGGGGGCAGCGGCGAGCGCCCCTGCGGCGGGCGGGGCCTCACGGGTGCTGGGGCGGTGCGAGCAGGACGGAAGGATGGCATGAGGCGGTCGGCCCAGGAAACGCTCCAGGAGGTCCAGGGCATCTAGCTGTGAGATTACAGTTCGAGTGTGGACATTACCACTGTTTTCAGGAGGGTCGTTACCTAGGAGGGGGGGCAGGCAGCGGCAACGCCTGGGCGGGGCGGGGCACGTCGGGGCGAGGGTGCGCTGCGCTCGGGGGGGGGGGTCCAGCCCCCCACCCCACCCCCCTTGAGGGCTGGGGCGAGGACCGCTACGCGCCAGATGATACAGAAGGGAAGAACATATGTACTGATCTGGAGCGGTGCCACGATACAAGTGGCTCAGGATACGCTCCAGGAGTTCCAGGGCATCTGGAGGCCCCCGCCTCTGCAGTCTGCGTGGAGCATTCGGATATGCAGGAGATCCGCGCCGGCATGCCCCCCGCCCACCCGGGCTGCACACCCACTGCGCGCTGGCGGTGGCGGGCTGAGAAGCAGGCGAGGCGTGGGGCCACACAGCGGAGGCGCCCCTGCAGAGAGATCCGGCTTCGGTGCTGGAGTGGCGCGCAGGCGGACGTCCCAGCACCGTGCGACCCCCGTGGAGGTGCACGCCCGAACCGAGCACATCTGGCCGTCGCTCGGGCGCCCATTCCCCGTGCTTTTGTTCGGTCTCGTGCGTGGCTTTCTCGCCAGATGCTCAAGGCTGCTCCTCGATGGCCCTCGCCGAGAAAAAATGCACACGTCCGAGCGATGCCAAGTGTAGTATGTCTTTACCCTGGCGGTATGGCCGGGGAGCGCCCGCCGCCGAGCACACACCATGAGACACATGGGCGCGCGCATCGACCCCTGGGAAGGCGACGCACACCTCTGGCCATCGCTCTGACGTCCATTCCCTGTGCTTTTCTCGGTTTCGTGCGTGGCTTTTCGCTAAGTGATCAAAGATGCTCCTCGATGGCCCTCGCCGAGGAAAAAATGCACGCGTCCGAGCGAGACCAAGATATAGCACCAGCAGCCTGTAGTATTGTCTGCACCCTGGCGGTATGGCTGGGGAGCGCCCGCCACGGAGCACACACCATGGAAGGGGCCCTGGGACACACAAATAAATACACACAGGTAAAAAGATGCTCCTCCTCCTCCTCCTCCTCCTCCTCCTCATCCTCATCCTCATCCTCATCCTCATCCTCATCCTCATCCTCATCCTCATCCTCATCCTCATCCTCATCCTCATCCTCATCCTCCTCATCATCATCATCATCATCATCATCATCATCATCATCATCACACACCACCACCACCACCACCACCACCATCATCATCTCATCATCATCATCATCATCATCATCATCATCACCACCACCACCACCACCACCACCACCATCATCATCATCATCATCATCATCATCATCATCATCATCATCATCATCATCATCATCATCATCATCATCATCATCATCATCATCATCATCATCATCATCATCATCATCATCATCCTCCGCTTCCTTCCCCCCACCCCTAGCCCTTTCGATCAGGGTCGGCGGCACCGGCCGTCAGGCCTCTCCAATAAATACACACAAGTAAACAAAGTCCCCAAATGTTCCTGTATTTTGTGGGGTTTTCTGTCTTCCCCCCCAGTTCCCATGTGTTCCCATATTTTTTCTGGGAAATCGACGATGAATTGTGTCTGCGTGTTGTTTTCCTCCTGGACCATGAGATACATGGGCGCGCGCATCGACCCCTGGGAAGGCGACGCACACCTCGTAGAAGCAGGTGCGGGTGATGCCGATGGTCGGAAACTGGAACATATACATTACCAGTGGCGGGCTGTTTTTCAATCCCAGGACTTCTTGAGGGTCGAGGACGACGCTGGGGTGGTGTGGTGCATACTTTTTTGCCCGATGCCCCGGGAAAACAACGAAAAATGTATACACCAGGGTCCCGTGTACACCAGGATCTGCTCTCTAGTGCAAATTCCAACGCAGGGCCGGAAGAAGCGTCGGTGTATAGAGTTCGATTCCCTAGATGGAAACTTGTGCGCGACGTCGGAGGTGAGCACAGCCAGACGACCAGGGTCGGAGGACACTCCACCCGAGGCGACGCCGCGGACGAGCACTCCGAGGATCGGCAGCGGAGAGGTCACGAGCTGGCCGACCCTCGGGCACCGGCACGGGGCGAGGGCGCAGCTTCGCGACGACGCGCGCTGCCGTGGCGGGGCAGGCGGCGGGACAAGCTCTCGAGGAAAGGTCTTTCAGTGGCCCTGCACATCAGGAGGCAACTCCTGGGAGGTACTCGTAAGGACGACTAGAGGCTACGAGTAAAGACCATTGAGGCGGGCCAGCCCGAAGAAAGCCGAGGATTGAGCCGGATAGAGCCAGATGAAGAAGGATTCAGCTGGATTAGGCGCAGATGCTGATTTTAGCCTCGTTGCATCCGAATGCAGAGGCCCACGGAAGCCTCCAGAGGCACAAACAAAAAAAACGTACAGAATCCTTAAGCACCATCCCTCTTCCGTCTCCTCCTCCTCCCCACTAAACTGACCAGGAAAGCTTGCACACCCATCCTGGACCTAGTTAGGGTGGACCTAATTAAGCTCGGTGTGGACGGGGGAAAAGGGAAGAGGAGGAGGAGGAGGAAGAGGACAGGGATACCAGGACGAAGAGGAGAATTTGGAGGAACAGCAGAAGGAGAAAGAGGAGGAGGGAGCAGAAGGGAGCAGGGAGCAGGGATGGTGATGACGACGACGATGACGAGGACAATGACGCTGCCGAGACTCCACGACCCTCTGTCGCGGCCGCTCAAGACCCAAAGCGAGGAGCAGACGTCAAGAGACAGCTCCTGGAGGAAGTGCTTGTACCAAGACCCCTGGAGCGGTGAGGAGGAGGAGGAGGAGGAGGAGGAGGAGGAGGAGGAGGAGGAGGAGCGTCACGGACTCCCTGGTTAGATCAGCCTGCGTCAGTAATGGCGAATGCCTGCTCGCAAGCAGCCGGGCACCCTGGCATGCCGCTCTGGCACTGGCACGCCCTGGGGCACCATGGGCGGATAGAGGAGGTGACCCCCTCTTCACACAGCGCCACGTTGAGCACCAGGCTGACCTCGTACGACGCCAGGTAGTCGCATCCCCGGAGGCCCCGCGGATGTGGAATGCCAGGCAGGAGGGTCCAGTTCCCCGCGGCAAGCTCCTCGAAGAACCCACCGCCGATCACGTGCGAGTACATCTCCAGCGCCGAGAAAGGAACCACGGCCGAGCCCTCCCACACTTGAGGCACGCTCATGAGGATCACCAGACTTTCAATGTTGCGCTGGACACCCTGCAATACGATCGCGCTGCGCAGGATATACTCCTGGAGGCCGCGGACATAAGCAAGGTAGTAAGATCGAAAGTCCGAGTACCGATACAAGCCATAACGCGTGCCTATCGTCAGACTGACTTCGTACGTGTTTGGCATGTAGTCCGTCACGGCACTGAAGTTCCCCTCTCCAGTATCTTCGCATGGATACCCTTGGACAATCTCGTCATAGACAGCGCGATACTGGACACACGATGTCGGGCAACCAAACGCGGGCGTGCCAAACAGGCCCGTGCTGCTCAGCGCGATCATACAGCCGCACTGGAAGGGGCACAGGGCCCGGAGCTGCGTGGACTCCGGCTTGCCGCAGAGGTCGAGCTTCGAGGCATCGGCGCACGTGCCAACGGTGCTGTCGCCGGTGAGTTGCCTCAGCGACGCTTGCATCGCCCAGAAGGTCTGGCCCGTCGCGAAATCCTTGCAGGGAAGAGTGTCAGCCGCCTCTGCCACCGTGGACTCACCGATGAGGGCCACCTTCTGGAAGGAGTGCTCGTGGAAGCCAACATCGTCCAGAGAGGACGCGTTCGGCTCAACGGCAACCCTCGCTTGCTCCGAGTGCGACAGCGCTACTAGCTCGGGGGCCACGCTCCAGTATCCGTCTGACAGGAGAGTGGGACGGGCTACTTCCAGGATCATGCGCTCGGTCTCTGTGATACCTGTACGGTTGACCGACCGGGTGACGTGGACAACGCCGCTCGCAGCGTTGCTGGAAAAGATGAAGTCGATGTCTCCAGAGCAGAGGATATCTTTCGCCTGGTGCAGCTTGGAATAAAACGGGACCAGCACCAGCAGTCCTGTGGCCGCGAGGCCCCCGAGAATGACAATCACCGTCAGGGCGGGCCCGAGGCTGGGAAACCTTCTGGCGACCCTCGCCTCGTTCAGGGGAAGGGGCTCCAAATTCGCAACGAGTGTCTGCACCCGGCGAGGCAACAGAGTTTTGAAGAAATCCTCGTCGATATCCATTATGAATGATAGCGCCACTGCATTCAGCACCAGGTCCTCCATCCTGTTGGTCTTGCCCAGAAACCGAACGCCGATAATCGCAAGCAGGCCTGCCACAAACAGTCGGGGGAGGATGACCCCAAAGAAAACGCCTGACAAGCGGGCCGTGCTCAGCCTCACCAGCCGTACAGTCACGGACCGCCTCTCTAAATACTTCAGGTCACTGCGAGACGGCGGTCCCCCATCGTCCCCCACGCGCAAGCCACTCATCAACACGAGCGTGTGCGGGCCACGAGACATGGACAGAAGGGCCCACCATTGGTCAAAAACAGACCTCAGCTCACTCATGATGAGGGCTATCCAGAGCAACTGCGCCAGCGTCATCAAAACGGGCCCACCATATCCATCACCGCCCAGGAAGCCCTCGTAGCTGAACAGGAATGACGTCTGCGCCGCCGCTGTATGCAGCGTCGGATCCATGTCGCACACCATGCGAGCCAGCGACCGATGACCGACCATATCGGCGAAGCTGGCCTGATGGGCAATGCCGAGGCGGAACCCCAGCAGGCTGTCTAGGTAGCTGTCGTCCAAGCCGTCCCCAAGCATGTAGCTCCCCACGATCCTGCAGAACGTGACCTGGACGGCGAAATTCAGCACGAAGACGAACGTCAGCATCACGGAGACGCCAGCGCCCAGGCACGGGTGGCCCACGAACACGGCAGCGTCCCACAGCGAGGAAGAGCACGGGTACATCTCCCCCGCGTCCAGCACCCGGGCGGTGACCTCCTCGGGGACCTCCTTCGGCATGGGGGAACAGGGTCCTGAGGGACACGGATCCTGGACCCTGGGGCCTGCCTCCAGAACGAGCTCTTCGTCCTGAGTCGTCTTCTGGCAGTCCCGGGGCCCCGAGAGCCCGAGAAACGGCGGAGAACCTCAGGACCCGTTTCGCTCAGGACCCGTTTCCCCCCTGGCGACTCCTCCTCCCCGCGCAGGGCGCTCGCACGGCCCACAAGAGTCGGAGCGGCGGCGGCGGGAACCGCGGGAGGTGGCCCAGCAGCTGCCCGCGCGAGGGGCGCCGCGCCCTGCGGAGGTGCTGCAGGCGCAGGGCGCTCCGCAGGCCCGAGCTCCGCCGCCTTCTCTGGAGGAAGAGCAACCTGCGGGGCCCAAGGATATGCACCACCACTACCTCCACTCCCCCTTCCTCCGCTACCCCCCTGTTCCCCTCATCTCTGCTTGGAGAGGGCGGTGGTGAGCGAGGTGGTCGTTGCGTGCCTTTTCTCCGGGCCCCGCAGGAGCGGCATACAACAGAAACTGCACCGTCGAAGCTCTGTGCGGATTCCTCGGATCGGCGCTGGGACACCCTGCCTGTCGCGGGCTTCCTGGATCGGCGCAGGGGCCCCCCCCGTACCACCCCCCGGCGCCTGCCTCCTCCGGCGCCACCCCTGGCGCGCTCCGCGCTCCGCGCGCCCGCGAGGAGAGCCCAGCGCTCGACCCCAGAACTCCGCGCGGAGCGCCGAACACTTGGTGCTTGTGCCGCTGCTTCTTCCCCTCGATCCTCTGGCACCGGCCCGCGGAACGCGTGCGCGACCTCGAGGCGGTCTGGCCACGGCGCCGGCTCCGCGCCGGCCGCCTGGAGCGTGGCCACCTCCCGCCGCAGCGCCTCGAGGCCGCGGCGGAGCTCCTCCAGCTCGGCGCGCAGGCCCGCCGTGCTCGGCCGGCCCGGCTCGGGCATCCTTGCCGCCGCCGCCAACGCCGCCTGAGCTGCAACGAGGCAAGACCGCCTGTCTTCGGCGGCGAGCCTGGGGGAGAGTGCAGAAGGGGCGCGGCTTCCCAGGAGGGTCTGAGGGCCTGGGGCCTCGAAGAAGGTTTTCAGGGCCTTCTCCGAAGACAGAGGCTGCTTCCCAGAAGGCTCATTGCACCGACCTTGCAGACGTGCTGCAAAAGATTTTCGCATGGATTTCTGTCAACGCAAAACCCCGAAACGGCGAGCGAAAAACGACGCCAGTTTCACGTGGATTGTTTGTAGTAATCCTTCCTGGCAAAAAAAATCCGCACGAAATTCACTTCGAAATCCAGAACGAAATTCTCCAGGACAGTCTGGGTCCCTCCCACTGTTTTCCGAACGAACTCCGCTCTGCGATGTCGGCGCCATGAGACGGCCCGAGGGCTGGTGGGAAGCCCCGCCGCCCTCTGAAAAGCCCCTGCTGAGAAGCCCCTCCTCATGGTGGGCTTGCTTTCCACCGCCACCACCATGAGTAGGAGGGGGAGGGGGTCCTCCTCCTCCTCCTCCTCCTCCTCCTCCTCCTCCTCCTCCTCCTCCTCCTCCTCCTCCCTCCCCCCCTCCAACTCATGATGGTGGTGGTGGACAACGGGCCCATCATCCCGCCTTCCCCCCCGGGCACGCCGCCGATCTGTCCCCCCGCCTCGGCGGGGAGCTCTCGGGCTGGCCGGCCCCTTGCCGCCGCCGCGCGGCGTCGCCGCCCGGGGGCTCCGCCGCCCCTGCGTCTGGCGAGGCGGAGCGGGCACGGAGAGAGAGGGTGGGCGCTGCAGGACCACGTCGGCGCTGGCCTGGCCGGGCCCTCGCCGAGAGCCCCCGCTCGAGCCGAGACCGCCTGGGCCCGAGCAGCTGTGCGTGGCAGGCTCGCGTCGTGACCTCGGCGTTGGCTTCCGGCACCGCGTGGATCGTTCAGCCTTGAACGTTCGGCGGCTTCTCGGTCGCGAAATCATTCCATATTGGCCGACTCTGGGCCACTGGCGGCATTCAACCCGGAACGCCCGCGGCGGGGTCGCCGCCGCGTCGCCACGACGCGAACCTCCGGCACGGAAGAAAGAGAGGGACCCGTACAGTCAGCCCGCAGAATCAGGGCGCACGACAAGGATGCAAAAGGGCCTCGGAAGGCCATGTCGACACTCTGCGGGCGGGGCGCGGCCAGCGAAAGCGGTCAAGGATGGGCCAAAGGGAAAAGATGCAAGGGCAACCTTGGGAAATTGCTCATCCTTACAGGGCAGGTTTTAATACATAGGATGTTTAAAAATATAGGATTCGTAATACATGATTAATATATGAATAAATGTATGCATAAACGCATCCTTGTTTTTTAATACAAATCCCTGCATTTTTAATACATGATCCGCCCGCGGAGCATGTATCAAAACCGGCGCTGTACTATGCGGGCTCTGTGCTTGGCAAGCGCGCTGTGAACAGACAAACGAACGAACGAACTTCTGCGTCGTGCGCGCTCCGCGAGGGAGTCCGCCCGTGCCCAGTAGGGCATGGCGTGGAGACCGTGGCCTCAAAAATGTCATACTACGGGACGTGAAAACGACCACAGCCACTGCTTTTCTTTTGTTGCCGCCTTCCAGCCAGCAGAAACAAAGCAGTGGTTGTGGTCATTTTCGTTAAGCTTGGCACCAGGGAAACGACAACAACCACTGCTTCTTTTTCGGCCGGCTGGAAGGCGGCGCAAACAAGAAGCAGTGGCTGTGGTCATTTTCCCGTCCCGCACATACGCAAGCAAATTCATGCGGCAAGCGCGCAATGGGGGCGGTCAAAACGCGGAAGCGATGCCCGGCGGCAGCAGATGACATCTGAAAACGACAGCGGCCGCTGTTGGGCAGGCGACGCTCGTCCCGAATGGAACCCGCTGTTCGGGATCCACTCGGGTTACCACGTGGTTCCCTCATGGGAATTCGAACGATACCGCTTAACAGGAAACATATATCGAAAGGAGAAACACGATGCTACACTATATTGTTACGGCGCTTGCTTGTCATACGACACACGACATCTTCACACGAAGAAGATACGAAGTTCACGTGAAAACAAAAATCATGCACATAATAACATGTGCTTACCAGTTCCATGAAGCTACCACATCGAAAAATGCTTACCGGTGTGAGCAGATGGCTAGCTTTCTCTCTCTCTCTCTCTTTCTCTCTCTCTCTCTCCCTCTTTCTCTCTCTCTCTCTCTCTCTCTCCCTCTCTCCTTCTCTGTTACTCATGTTTTCTCTCTCTCTCTCTCTAGCTCTCTCTCTTTCTCTGTTTCTCTCTCTCTCTCTCTCTCTCCCTCTATGTGCTCATATATAAAGAACCATATGGCTATTATGCGGACCACATAGCTGCCACATTGGAATCACATGGTTTTGGAATGAACAGCGCTGGGGCGATCCATGGAACACCGTGTGGAATGTATTACTTGTCGGCGCGGCCGCCGCTCAGAATCTCCGCCACCCTCCCTTCCGCCTGCACACCACATAAGAACGGCGAACACCGTGAGGTCAGCCGAAGTGGTGATAGTACCAGTGGTAGTAGTAGTCGTAGTAGGGGTAGTGGCAGTAAGAGTAGGATTAGTAGTAATACTAGTATTAGTAGTAGGAGTAGTAGTAGTAGTAGTAGTAGTAGTAGTAGTAGTAGTAGTAGTAGGTAGTAGTAGGAGTAGTAGTAGTAGTAATAGTAGTAGTAATAGTAGTAGAAGTAGTAGTAGCAGTAGTAGTAGTAGGTGGTAGTAGCAGTAATACTAAAAGAACAAATAGTAATAGTGGCAGTAGCAGTAATATTAAATGAAATAGGAGAAGTCGAAGTAGTAGTAGTAGTAGTAGTAATAGTAATACGAGTACTACTACTAGACATTGTAGTAGTAGTAGAAGTAGTAGTAGTAGTAATAGTAGTAGTAGTAGTAGTAATAGCAGTAGTGGTAGTCGTAGTAGTAGTAGTGGTGGTACAAATGGTAGCACTAACGAAAGCAATCGTAACAGAAGTACGAATACTAGTAATATGAGTTGTAGTCGTCGTCGTCGACACAATAGTAGGACTTGCAGTAGCAGTAGTCGTAGCAGTATTAGTAGTTCCACTAGCAGTGGCAATAATAGTACGAGTGGCCGTCGTAGTGGCAGTAGTAGTCGCAATAATAGTTGCAGCAGGAATAGTAATAGTAGCAGTAGTAGTAGTAGTAGCAGTAATCGTAGTAGCAGTAATAGTAGTAGTAGTAGTAGTAGTAGTAGTCGTCGTCGTAGTGGTGGTGGTGGTGGTGGTGCTGCTGGTGGTGCTATCGAGCATAATAATAATGGTCAACGGTGTGGCAGCAGCACAAGCAGTAGTAGTAGTGGTAGTACTAGTAGCAATACTCCTACTACTAGAAGTAATAGTAACAACACTATGAAGAGCAGTAGTAGTTGTAGCAGTCGTCGTAATAGCTGTCGTCGCAGTAATGCGAGTAGTACTAGAAGTCGTCGTCGTAGTCGTAGTTGTAGTAGTAGTAGTAGTAATAGTCGTAGTAGTAGTACGTAGTTTGTTGTAATAGTAGTACTGGTAGTACTGACACTTGTCGTGATAGTAGTCGCAGTAGTAGTAGTAGTAGTAGTAGTAGTAGTAGTAGTAGTAGTACCACTACTACTACTACTACTACTACTACTACTACTACTACTACTACCACTATTACTAGTAATGGTAGTAGCCGTTGTAGTAGCAGTAGTGGTAGTAGTAGTAGTAGTGATAGTAGTAGTGGTAGTAGTAGTAGTAGCAGTAGCCATGGTAGTAGTAGTAGTAGTATAAGTAGAAGTAGGAGTAGTAGTAGTACTAGTAGTCGTGGTGGTGGTGGTACGAGTAGTAGTCATAGGAAATGGTAGTAATAGCAGTGGTAGCGATACAAGCGAGTAGTAGTAGTAGTAGTAGTAGTAGTAGTAGTAGTAATAATAGTAGTAGGGGCAGTCGTAGAAGTAGTAGTACTAGTATTACTACTAGCACGACTAGTAGCAGTAGTAGTGGTAGTACTAGCAATAGTAGGAATAAAAGTAATAGTCGTAGTAATGGTAGTAGTAGTGCAAGTAATACGAGTAATAGTAGTGATAGAAATGTCGTGGTATTAGCAGTAGTAGTTGTAGCGGTAGCACGAGTAGTAGCAAGTAGTAGTAGTAGTTATAGTAGGAGTAGTAGTAGCAGTGGTAGTAACAGTAGACGTAGCAGTAGTAGTAGTAGTAGTAGTAGTAGAAGTAGTCGTATAGTAGTAGTAGTAGTGGTAGCAGTAGGTAATAGTAGTAAGTAGTAGTAGTAGTAGTAGTAGTAGTAGTAGTAGTAGTAGTAGTAGTAGTAGTAGTAGTAGTAGTAGTAGTAGTAGTAGTAGTAGTAGTAGTAGTAGTAGTAGTAGTAGTAGTAGTAGTAGTAGTAGTAGTAGTAGTAGTAGTAGTAGTAGTAGTAGTAGTAGTAGTAGTAGTAGTAGTAGTAGTAGTAGTAGTAGTAGTAGTAGTAGTAGTAGTAGTAGTAGTAGTAGTAGTAGTAGTCGTAGTAGTAGTAGTAGTAGCAGTAATAATACAATTAGTAGTAATAGGTAGTAGTAATCGTAGTAGTTGTCGCACTAGTAGTCGTAGTGGTGGTGGTGGTCGCAGAGGCAGCAAAGGTCGAAGCAGAAACAATGTCACGCACAGAAACCATACCAAACGCAATAAGGTGGTAGCAGCGGTAACAGTAACATGAATGACAATACCTAAACGTCCTCGTCGTCTTCATCATCATACCTTTCCCGACCGTCTCCTCCTTTGTCTTCCTCCTCCGTGCCCCTCCTTTTCCAATTATTTGTATTGTTCCTGGTCATCATAATTTTCCTCCTCCTCCTCCTCCTGTTCCTCCTCATCCTCCTCCTCCTCTTCCTCCTCCTCCGTTTCCTGTTCTTCCACCTTCCCAACACCTTGCCACCCGCTTTTGGTCCCCGATCCATTCATCTTCCCCTGCCGGATTATTTTACGACGATGCACGGCGAGCCTCGCGGGTCTTGGCTGGGCGAACGAGCGAGTGGGGAGGAGGAGGGGGGGGAAGAGGAGGACGAAGAGGCAGAGGAGGAAGAGGAGGAGAAACAAGTGCAAGAACACAAGGAAAATTGGGAACACCTGGACGACGAGGAGCGGCAAAAGCGTCGGCAAAAAACGCGGGGATGCCGCCCGCGCTGCGTCGCGCCCAACGCGGCCTTTCCAGGACCGCGACGCTACCACTGAGAGAGCTCCACGAATGCATCGGGCGGCGAAGCCGCACATAGACAGGGTCGAGTGACAGCTAATGTGTTTTCAACCACCTACGTGGTGTTAGTGGGCCACTCTATGTGGTGCAAGTAATCTTGAAGATTTAGAACTGTCAACTCCAGTGCTCGCGCAATCATCCCACCCGCCCACCCGAAGGTTGGGTTTCAAAACCCACGCGGCTGCGACTGCGATGACTGCTTTGCGCTGGCTGGCACACCGCTGCGGCCGCAGCCGCCCCGGCGCGCGCAGGCTTGCTCGCAGAGCGGCCAGCTAGTCTGGCGCGACCGACGCGGCCTCCGTGGCGCTGACCGCTGGGGACTTCCCACCGCGTCTCGCAGGCCGTGCTGGCGCAGCAAGCACATCAGTGCGGGTCGGTAATTCGTGCGGGCGCGGTACCATGGCGACGTCGACAACAGCAGACACGACGACGATAATAATGATAATAGAGATGCTTGTGACGACGGTGACGATTACAACGGCCAAGGTCAATGACGGCGCCGATGCCGATCACGCCGGTGACGATGATGGTGCCCACACGTGGATGATGAAAGTTCTGCACGGATTTCGACATGCGCGCGCGGCCGACGGGCGCGAGTGGCCCGCATGGTATTATTTGAAAGGTGACGATGCTGGCGACGATGTTGGCAACGACGAGGGGCGGCC